ACCATCCTTGCCCTCCAGTCCCGACAGGGCCAACGCCCGGGTCATGAGCTGCCGTCGAACCTGCAAGTATATGGGCCCTGCCTTCCCGAACTCAGCTCCAGGACCACCGGGTATTGAGGGCTGGCCCTGATCCATGGCCGGTCCACCTGTAGTTGTCGGAGCTGTGTTGTCAGCAGAGGCACCCACCATGAAGGTGGATGCCTTCTGGCAGCTGAGACGGGCAGCTGAGCCACTTGCTGCTTCCTGTGAGTCAGTGTGAGTTATTAGGCACTGTAAGACTACTATGTCTTTGTAGGGCCTGCATGTGAGTGCACAATTCCAGAGTATGGCAACCAAAATGTAACCTCATGCCTGCCCACATGTGTCCACCATACAACCCTTACACAGCAAATCCCAAACCCTGCACCTCTGAAAGCCCTGGCCCCTCAACCCCCCTAACCCCCAAAACCCAATCATCTTCAGATAAGGAAGCCTCTGTTGCAAACAGCAGCCCTCTCCATACCTCAGTTGGAGTGGCATCCACTGGATTGAACACCTCCCCCTCTGTCACACCGCCGGCATCAGCAGCTGCCACTGCAGCTCCTCCAGTTCCCAGGCTTGCTGATTGGCACAACGTCCCCAAGTTCTGCCATGCACACATGCACATGAATAGACAAGTCATGATCATCAGTGTGGCGTACCATGAGGTTTTCATTTTTGGGCTGTTGCATGCTGGGGTTTGAAGCCCATGTTGGCCCACTACAAGATCCAAGAATCATGGCAGACACATATTGGATGCATGAATGGGAGCACCTACCTTCCCCTTTGAGCCATGGCCACCATCCCTGCCATCCAGAGGCTCGGTGCTGTTTACAGCAGCAGTAGCAACCGCACCCGTGGGCTTAGCTGCTGTCATGGCTGCAGTATGTGGCTGGTTACTGGCAGCAACACAGACATCTACTGCCCCAGATGAGGTGAGTGGAGACAGTGCTGCGGCTGCTGCTGCCTGTTGCTGACTTTGAATGTCCTCCTGTCGTTTCACCTCATCAGCAGACTTGGCCAGGTTTTCCTTCTCC